AGGTGTGCATCACCGCGCCTGGCTGCAGGGTTTCTTTCACTGTTCTTTTTAAAGGGGAAAGCAGGAAGTGAGCAAAATCAACAGAAGAGATGGAGGTTGTACTAATATCCTGATACTCACCTGGCAGTAGCTCATCACTGCTAATCAAGCCCATCTGTTGAGTGAGACTAGCTGAAGACTGAGAATTTCCTTGTGTCCTTTAAAATGACTCCCCCCCACCACCACCACTGATCAGTGTCCTTAAAGTGGGCCTTCTAGAGCATCAGTAGTTTGCTGCTTATAGGGTGGGGTAGCTGAGTCACTATTTAGCACTGAGTCCTTGGATTAATCTCCCTTGGAAGAGTGGAAAGGTAACGAAGCACACAGTTCCTTACCTAAAAAAATGGTGCAATTATTCATTTTTTTCTTTTTAGTTAAATAATGATTTTATCGCTTGAATACATACACAAATTTATGCCACCAAGGCAGAGGTTGTGATGATTCATTTCCAAAATGGTCCTGGGGATTGAACCCAGGGCTTCAAGCACACTAGGTAAGCACTCTACAGTCCTAGCCCTATAATTATTCTTGAAAGGTGGATTCAAAATTCAAGAGAAAGGGACCTCCAAAAATGTACGAATTCATTTTTCCCTTGGAGGAGTGAGGAAGCAGCGGTGAGGGGATTGAGAGACCCTATGGCTATCCAGGCGCCCCCTGCCGGGTGAGACGGGAACGCCGATCTTCCGGCTGAGATCAAAGTGTTCCAGAGCCGACAGGCCCGCCACCCTCCGGCCCTCTGTCTGAGCTGAGAGACTGCGGGTCTGACAGAACTGCAGTCTCCAAAAGCCATCTTGGCATCCTTATTATTTGGCCTAGACTAAGCACGTCCTTAAAAAAAAAAAAGTGTTTTTTTAAAAAATTATAGACCAGCAGAAAGAGGTGCAGGAAGCACTTTAGTCCCAACAATGTTTTAGCCTAACCGGAGACCACCTCACATTACACCAGGTTCACCAAGTTAAGCTGCGAAGTTCTCTTAGGGGCCTTGGCTGCCGGCTCCACCCAGGACCCCACGTCCCGCAGCAGCCAGCTCTATGCCCCGCCCCTGCACCTCGCCCCGGAACGCTGCAGTTATCCAGGCAACCAGAGCTCGGGGACCCGGACGGGACGCGAAGGCG